AATAAAAATAGAAGTATAGTTTGACAGAAATATTTTTTTAGCTAAAATGTTGTGAAATGTTGTGATTTTTGCTTTACTTAAAAGAGGTGTATCAATCTGGGCCATCATCATTTTTGTAATAAACACAACTAAAAACTAAAATGATTTAGGCAGTAGCTATCCAGCAGTTTAGATACAATCACTTCTCTGTATGTGATAGAGACACTGGGAGGCAGCCAACTAATAATCATAATAATATTAGTTACTATAGCAAAGTGTACTACTCTATGAGAGGGAAGGCGAATATCAAGTAGTTGTTGAGATGTAAAAGGGGACAGGAGGGATACTATAAATAAGCAGCTATAACAACTTAAAATTTAAATAATCAGTACTATATTGATATACGAAAGAAAAATGAAAGGATCATTGTTAAAAGACAACTGGTATCCAACTTACAATTGTCTCGTAAATTTTATTCATCATAATTAATAATTGACAAACAATGCTTGGTTCCAGAAAGGGTGTTTGCCCAGCGCAGTGGATATCAACCCTTGAAATCAATTAATCAAATTAAAGTCTAAACTGACCAAATCCTAGAAATTCAGTATTTATGCAAACATTCAAACAAACAGATGATGAATTTTAGGATCAATATTCCTAACCAGTTGAAAAAGCTTCAGTAGAAAACCAAATCAGGATCGGATGAGATGATGAGGCTTGAAGGAGAAGAGGGAGACCAATCCCCTAAAAACTATGTTAGATTTAAATACATTATATTAGTTTATAAACTGAAAAAATAGAAGAAAGAACCATTACAGCAGCTTTTATATAGTAAATTACCTGATTAATAATGTCTGGAAGAACTTTTCCAATAACTCCCAAAAGAAGGGCCACTGAAGTAGGAATTCCAGTCCAAGATGTCACCTGACCTTCATCTTCAAATTTACAACGTTGCACGATTTAGCTCCATCCTAGGCATATACAAAAGACTACATCTACAGAGAAAATATATCACATAGGACCTGATTCTTTAATAAGAATAAGATACAGAGTAAAACATAAAGCAATTCAAATGCTTGCCAAACGTAACATGAAAGCTTCTCCAATTCATTGGTGCTCACTCTGAAGCACAAGCTAGATACTACTAAAAAATTAAAGTTTCTACCTATCCAAGAGGTTCACTATAAGCTTCTCTGGACTAGCTACCATATCTGCACCAAGAGCATCTCCATTTTTTCTGCCAGAACCATTATTTAAGAATGGGAATGCCTCAAGATTTCTTATCTTTGGTCCCTCAGACGAACTCTTGCACGAAGCGTATAGATAAACTTCTAGGACTTTAAAAAATTATCAATTTAGAATCAACCCCCTCTTAATGTATGCCAGAAAAAGAATAAATAAGCAAATAATCTAACCTAGAAAATATACCACAAGGAGGGCGAGGTAGCTGGCGCCAGAAGCTAAGGTGGCGGCGGGATCGGATATTCGGAGACGTACGACTTTGTGGAAAGGGGCTCAATCGAGATCTTCAAACTTCGAGGGGCAAGGGCTTCAATCGATGTAGTCGAGTGACAGAGACTCAGCTGCGGCGGGAATAATCATAGCAGCGGCCGCAAGAACCAAATAGGGTGTAGAGGTACCCAAATCACACATAATTAGGTTTTTCCCCGACATTCAAACAAAGAGATGAAATTAAGGATATATATATTACTGACCTGTTAAAGGTGCGAAGTAGAGAATAAAATCCGAATGAGATGATGAAGCTTGAAAGAGAAGAGGAACAATACCAAGCTTGAAGGAGGAGGAACATCGGCCCAGCAACCACCGTTAGCTGAATCGCTGATTGAAGTGCTTTGGCCGGCCTGAGTAGCTCATCTTGCTGACTGGGTGTCCTTAGATTATTTTCTGGTCGATTGAGTCTCAGATCCCTTAGGGCTGCGTTTCACTCTCGTGGTATATTTGCCACATGAACAGAGAGCATCGAAGGAAAAGAAAATGTGCTTAGGGTTAAGCGGGAAGAAGCGGGAGATTAAAATCACTTGGCGGCAAAAATGAATATTCCCCTAAATGTGTTTAGCCGCAAAGATAAAAATCAAAAAGAAAACGTGCATAGCGTTCAGGGGAAGAAGCCGAAGGTTAAAATCAGTAAGCACAAAAAAATAATGCTTCTAAAAGTGTTTAGCAGCAAAGATAAAAATAATAGGGAATACTTCTTAAAAGCTTCCCAAAAGTTAAAAATAATAACCGTAGTACTTCTTAAAAGTTTGAGAGGTCTTCCAAAAAAACTTAAGAGATGAGAGGCAAAAATGTTAAAAATAATAGGGAGTACTTCTTTTCTTTTTTAATAGAATATGTGTATATTATCAGTTGCATTTGTTAACCTTTTAAAGAAGCTAATAAGTATAACTTTGATCATTGATATATTTTATTTCTTATTTATAAAAAAATAAAATAAAATAAAATAAAAAAATAAAAATAAAAATTAAATATTTAAAGGTGTGAGCATAAAAAAATTAAAATTTACTGATTTACTCCCCAATAAATTTAATAATAATAAGTTGGTAAGCATGTTGGAGGCCACCGTAATTTAGTTAATGTTAAATATATATTCTAGAGGCGCAAATGTGTTATTGCCTCAAGAAACTTTTAGAAGCACATGTTTTGAGGCATTAATACTTTTGCGTCAAACTTTTGGAGACAGACATACAAATGTTGCTCCTAAATGATACTCCCTCCGTCCCAGAGAGAAGTTCCCGGGTTCACTTTCACAGATATTAAGGAAATAAAGTTACTGAGGGGTAAAGTTACTGTTTAGCACTGTTTCGACACTGTTTGGCACTGTTTCGACACTGTTTGACACTGTTTTGCACTGTTTGGCACTGTTTTGATGTAGGATAACTTTCCATTTAGGGAAATGGGAACTTTTTGTTGGGACTGCCAAAAAAGGAAAGTGGGAACTTGTCCCTGGGACGGAGGTAGTAGTTTTTAGAGGCAAGTCCGATATAGTTGCTTCCAAATGATAGTTTTTAGAGGCAAGTACAATATGATTGTCTCAAATGATAGTTTTTAGAGACAACTATAACTTATATGATGCTAAAACATACTTTTAGGGACAACAGAATATAAGTTGCCTCAAAGAGTTGCCTCTATAGATCATTTTTTTGTAGTGTACACATGCAATCCGTTTTAAAAGGAGCAGAACTTGATGTTTATTGCCTTTGTACACAGACAATGTACACATTTTGTGTACATCTTGTGTACACAAAGAATGGTCTTTTTTCTTATATAGGGAATATAAATTGGTCTTTATCTTAGGGAAAAGTACGAAAAAAGTACTTGTGGTTGGACTCATTTTCAGATAGGGTCATGTGTTTCAGTCTTTACCAAAGTGGTTCGTGTGTTTGAATTTCGTTATAACAAGAGGGTCACGCCGTTAAAAACGTCTGAAAAAAATTGTTAAAACATAAAAGTAACTCTGATTTTCAAAAGTGTCCGGAATATTAAAAGAAAAATACCGGAAGGTGCGCCTCAATAAGACGTCCGCAAGACCATTTTTTTTGTTTTCAGCCTCCCTTGTCACCGGAAAGTCTACCGGAAAAGTGATATTAGTGAAATCATTTTTAAAAAATAATTCAAACAAATCTGAAGAATCCAAAAGCGAAGGTGGTTTGGAGGTCATCTTGACGAGGCGCACCTTTAAGTATTTTTCTTTTAATTTTCCGGACACTTTTGAAAATCGGAGTTACTTTTAACGGTCCTTTTTCAGACGTTTTAACGGCGTGACCCTCTTGTAATAACGGAATTCAAACACATGAACCACTTTGGTAAAGACTGAAACGCATGACTCTATATGAAAACGGGTTCAACCACAAGTACCTTTAGATCGAATACTCATGGGGTTAGTATTTGAACTTTAACTCAGAACTCGGAACTCGGAAGCCATAATTAAGTAATAACGTTCCTTTATTGGGCAAATATATAATACTATCGTATGAGTATTATATTTTTCTTAAACAGGAGTAACTATTATTATTTTGAAAAATCATAATGTCATAGTTTTAAGTTATTAGACATTAATAAGATTGTTCAAGTGGCATAGCTCCAAGGGCGGACCGTAGTACAGACCCAGGGGGGGTACTGCCCCTCCAACAAAATTTATTTTTAGTGTATATATATAAGAAAAATAATTTTCGCCCCCTCAAAAAATAATTTTCGCCCTCGAAAAATATTTTGAACCCCCAACATGAATTTTCTGGGTCCGCCGCTGGTGATAGCTCACGGCAATACGGCATTCTTCAAGTAAATTCTTTCAATACAAAAAACGCAGTAATATATACTACTAAGCATATATATATTTTGGAATGAAACATTGTTTGTGAAATATGAAGTATTACTTATATATTAAAATTCTGTATTACTCCTCTATTCAGGTTAAACTTTTAAGTGAGACCTCAAATCTTAACATTGTATCAGATTTAAAATGATCTATAATTATGATGTTGGCCAGCTATAAAAAATGACGACACAATTATAATAAAAATGAAAATGATCAACCGACAAAAAAATGAATGGTGACCAGATCCAGACGAGACGTTTGGTCCTGAGAAAGGGTGTTGAAGTCCTGTAACAATAATACGAGCATTAAAATGTTATATTAGGATTATAAACTACTCTACCATTTAAGGTGACTTTTTATGATGCCAACCTCAGCTATCAATCGTTTGATCGTAATGGGGGCAATTTTTTAAATGTATATCATCTCGTTTTGATTGGTTAACTTTTGGCAATTGTAATGTACTCCCTATCTATGATATTATAAAAAGTAAAAGGAGATGAGAGAGATATTTCTGTGTACTATATATATACTGTAGTTTAATCTGAAATTAAAGATTAATGAATCAATATTAATGTAAATTGGAAATAAATGAAAGTGTAGCTTCAATTGATCATGTCTCAACATTTAATTTGTCACCCACGACACGCTATATAGTAGATATATATATATTGCTCGGTGGGTACCGGATCGAGTGGTAGATGGTATCTCACAAAAACAATGAATGAATGCTTTGAAAAATGTGTGTCGTCATAAATGAGGTAGGAACATAGCACGTTTAGTTTTAGATTATTTTGATACACAAAATATATCATCTGGCTTAGCTTATTAGCTTATTAGCTTAGCTTGTTGGCCAGATGTGGATGGGAGAGTAGTGCCGGGCTGGCCTGCATCTTTATATGTAGTGAGTGCCCGCAGCTAGGGATCGATCATTTCTGCAGTTAAAATTATTCGGATATATAGAATGGGTGGGGTGATGAGGATGACGGCGGCGGCGATGGCAGTGGCGGTGATGGTGGTGGTGAATGGGATTGGCGCCGGAGGAGAGCCGCAAGTTCCATGTTACTTCGTATTTGGGGATTCACTGGTGGACAACGGAAACAACAACGATATTACTTCATTGGCAAAGGCTAATTACATGCCTTACGGCATTGATTTCCCGGGCGGCCCGAGTGGAAGGTTCTCCAACGGCAAAACCACCGTTGATGTTGTTGGTATCCAATCTAAGCTTTATACATGCATAATATTTATTATTAAATTAAATTACATTACATTATTACATATTTATTTCACGCATTGGATTGTGTCAATTGCGTAGACGGTAGCGTGCGTGTCTTAAGATCCATAAGATTAATTAAGTGGAATTTCAAAACGTCATCTTCAAAATCAAAGGGGTGTAAGATATTGCAAAACAAATGATAAGGTGTAAATTTGCACTCAAAAATTGTCTTCGATGAAACACAACATAATTAATTAATGTGGCCAAGCTTGCTGTGGCTTATACTCCGTACAAGTTCACACTCGTCCGTACAAGTGTGAGAGGTCTTGAGTTCAATTCATATTTAAGGAAAGTGAGAAAGGTGATCTTGCTCCCCATGATTCTCTACTTAGTTTTATTAGTAATGGGAGGAACAGTCTCGAAAGAACATATATATGGTGCAAGTGTTTCATGATGGATTAAACTGCTTTAATTTGCTAGGAATTAGGCCGGTTCTCTAGTTAGCCATTTCAAGATGCTATCACTTAATGGTGGATCGATAGAGTTTAATTCTTTTTTTCTGTAGTTGTTATTATGAATCTCAGCTCATCATTATATATAAATATGTGCGCCTTATATTAGGTGACTTGTTATAATTAATTTTGAATGATCTATATATGCAGCTGAGCTCTTGGGATTCGACGATTACATTCTGCCATACGCAAGCGCTAGGGGTGAAAATATTCTTAAGGGAGTCAATTATGCATCTGCAGCAGCTGGAATTAGAGATGAAACTGGCCAGCAGCTGGTACATACATTTACATTCTTCACATTTAAATTGTACCAATAATACATTATTTTGTACCATTACTAAGGGTAATAATTCCTTTCAAAAAAAAAACCAAGGGTAATTAATTAAGGTCAGCATTTCAATACCCTCTTATTAAATGAAGCAAAACATGCACTACTCTAGTTCTATTGAAATGTTTTCATTCCCACGTTTAATTCGACATTACATCATCACAATTTGGTTGAGCTTTAAATTTTATGGTTACCAAGTGCGGCATATTTTTATGTGTCAAACAAAGTTGATATTTCAATCCCATCAGTTCTGACAAAGGAAATGACCAAATCTCTTTAGCTAGTTTAGTATCATTGCAACATTTGAGATCCCCACCTCAATTATGATTATTTTATCAAGAAATAATTACATACACGAAAAAAATTGTTGTAATTATACTAGTAAGTTTAGCTAATACCACGAGTAGTAATTTATCTTTAGTTTTCACACTTGAGTAATAATAACATTATACTCATAGTAAGTTTCATCAGATTTTGTTTTATTTCATTAATATTTTTAAAAAAATGTATTTAATCAATTTGCTAAAATAATTTACTGCACATAAATGTTTTTCAACTTCACGTGTACGTAATCAGTGATGCCCAAGTAGATATAGTTACTAAAAAAATTAATGTGTATGTATGCTAGTTTGTATTCAAATGTTCTATTTGTAAATTCATGCAAATTGAGGGTCATTAAGTAAACCGATTAGATGACAAATTGAAATTAATTTAAAATGAATACAAGTTTGAGTATCATCATACATTTGAAGCAATTTTAATTATTAATCTTTCATAATCTTTGTCTTTTTAAATCCTGAACAAGAAAGAATTTCCAGCCTTTACTTCTCTCTCCATTTTTCTCCTACGGCTATCCTTCGGTCTTTCCAACTCAGGTCTCCTTTATCGATCTTTGATTATAGTTAATTGTTTTATACAATCGATATGATAATACGGGGGCATGCAGGGTGATAGGATAAGTTTTTCTGGGCAAGTGAGGAACTACAAGAGCACTGTGGAGCAGGTGGTGCAAATACTAGGAGATGAGGACTCGGCTGCAAATTATCTGAGCCAGTGCATTTACTCCATTGGGGTGGGCAGCAATGACTACCTCAACAACTACTTCATGCCCATTTACTACTCCTCCAGCCGCCAGTACACTCCTGACCAGTATGCTGACATTCTTATTCAACAATACACTGAGCAGCTTCAAGTAAGTGCAGTTCCAATCCCATCCTTCATTTAACGAACACATTTCCCAATTATTTTTTTAAATTCTTATTTTATTTCCATTTGAAAAAAATGTGTTACTCCCTGTGTTTTTTTACTCCATCTTTCTCCCAATTCTAGCGTAGTCCTTCACGGATCTAGAGTCTCTGCCTTGTTTTAGAGCGAACTAGATCCATAGAGTGTTCGGCTTGTAGGGACCGTCCAATCAAAATCAACAGCAAAAGATCTTGGAGGTTCACATCTCAATGCGTCCTTATCTACCCGTTGGTTGCTGCATGGCAGAGGATTTGAATCCGTCCTTCATGATAAATTGTGTTGAGGATCGATTCCGTCACCGGATTCCGGCTCAGGCAGTCCGGATCTGGTTTCAACAAGTAAATCGGAGTGAGATTCAACAGGCAAATGCTCCACCTCATTTGGAGCAACATCAGGAGAAACAAGTAGGCAATGAAATTCATTTTCAACAAAAATGACATTTCTACACATCAACACATTGAAGCAAGTTTCACTCCTACACCAAAGCCTATAACCTTTCATGCAATCATGATATCCTAAGAAAACATATTCCTTAGTCCTAGGTTCAGATTTATCATTCAGACGATTCACATAAGCAGCACAACCAAACACTCTCAAATTTGGCAAGTCAATTGGTTTGCCCATGAACACAGATTCAGGGCATTTCCCTCCTAAGGGAACAGACGGGGACAGATTAATCAAATCAACAGCGTAACAAATAGCTTCTCCCCAGAACTTATTAGAGAGCCCAGATGAAGCTAACATAGCCCTCACCCTCTCTAATAAAGTTCTAACCATCCTCTCAGCAACCCCATCTGGTTGGGGTGTGGAGGGAACAGATTTATGCATAGAAATACCCCAAGTATCACATAAATCACCAAGCTGATTATCACAGAAATCAAAACTGACAGTGGTCCTTAAAAAATTTATTTTCTTACCGGTTTGTTTTTCAACAAGGGTTTTCCAGTTTTTAAACTTATCAAAAACTTCAGATTTATTTTCAATCAACAAAACCCACACTTTCTTTGAAAAATCATCAATCAACGTCAGAAAATAATTTTTCCCACCATGAGTGGAAACACTATAAGGACCCCACAAGTCAGCATGAATACAATCAAGCACATTAGTACACTTAGGCAGATCAGGAAAACCAACTCTAGACTGTTTTCCTAGCACACAGGGTTGCACACAATTTACAGAATCAAGTACGGGTTCAGCATGACAAACATACAAGTTGTTTTTCATCTCAGCTTTGAAAACAACTAAACAACCCTTCACAACTTTCATGATTCCCTTTCCCCATTTTCCCTTCAAACCCTCATTTTCAAGAGAAGCACAAGATAGCAAATTACAACACAGCTCAGGAACATGCCTAACATTCTTCAAAGTAAGCACATAACCAGAAGAAAACCTAAGGCATACATCTCCTATTCCTAGCACATTGCATTTCTTCTCATTTGCTAAAGACACAAAGCCATGTTCAATCTCTCTATAGTTTGAAAAAACATTTTTCAAAGGGGACATGTGAAAACTACAACCAGAATCTACCACCCAATCTGATTTACCCAAAGAATCAGATATCACAGAACTCAAATAGTCATAATCACATAGATTTTTCATCATAAAAACATCACCTAAATCATCTTCACACGTAGTCAAATTAGCATGCTCACTATGCTCATTTTTCCTAGATTTAGGACAGTCTCTTATGAAATGACCAGGTTCATGACAATAATAGCAACGCCTCGAATTAGACCTAGACTTAGATCTATGTCGTCTACTATTATTTTCTCTACCCCTCACATGCATAACTTCCTCAGATTTTCTACCCTCACCCATTTGTTTTAAATCTAATTCCTTACTCTTAAGACCATTAACCACAATGTCAAGAGTCACATTATCTCTACCATACTTAATAGCAGATTTCACATCACCAAAGGAATCAGGAATAGCATTTAAAAGAGCAATAGGGGAATAATCATCTATATGCTTATCACCACACAACTTAATATCTGAAATAAGTTTGGTAAAAACATCTAGATTTTCTTCAATATCTATAGACATATCTAGTCTAAATTTGAAGAACTTTTCAAGTAAAAATATCCGGTTAGGCAAAGAGGTCTCAGTATACAGTTCATTCAATTTATTCCAAAGAACTTTAGCACTTTCTAAAATTCCAACTTTTCTAATCACAGAGTCAGATAAGTTCAAATAAATCACAGAACATGCATTTTCATTCATTTCAGCCCTTTTCTCTTCTGTGTCAGAAATTAAATAGGTTTCGCCAACTGCTTTAAAACATTTTTGTTGTATTAAAATACATTTAATTTTTTGCTTCCAAATGCTAAAATCAGATTTTCCATTAAATGGAGCCATACCATACTGATTATAAGCAGACATTTTCACAGAGAAAAAATAAGCAACAAAAGAAAATGTAAATTTCGCTGAAAAACAATTCAAATATTTATAAGGCTACAACTATACAGAGCAACTAGCACGAACACGTGGGGAGTATTAATGAGCACCAAACTCAACTTCAAACCCCTTGTTCTTCCGTATAAGCACAAATAAATAATAAATTTTCAGCACAAACACAATACAACAATTCAATCAATTTTAACAGCAGTAATAAACCTAAAACATAATTTCTACACAATAAAAGATTAAATCACTACAAAAGCGATAAAAAAGGATTAAAGATAATATACCGGAGCGAAACCCTAAGACAGGCGTTTCGACCTTACCCACCCAATTCAAAAAATTGAGATTTTTCGGAAGGTTTGACTGGAGTTGACCGAGTCTTCCCTTTGCTCCAGGTCCAGCCCAATTTCAACCTACCAAATCCAAGTTGTAGCCCACTGGGAAGTACCAGCTACATGTGCTCCAGGGAAAGTGCGTAGCAACTAGCAAGTGTTCTAGTCATGACAGCACTCCAACTGGCTTCCAGAAAATTTGAACAGGCCTTTAGCGTACAACCTTTTTCCAGCTATTACGCAGCAATAGTGACCAGGTTCAAGTCGCGACAAAGTCTCAAAGCTTCTGCGACCGGCTTCCAGCAAAGGGCAATCAACCCCCAGGCGAGGAAGAATAGCGAACAAGACGGCTAGGAGTAGAAATCGACGGTCGATTTCCGGCGAGTTCAGAACACCGGCGATGGTTCTCAAGCAGACGGCGGCTCCAGCGGCGAACTAATCGGCGAGCAACGACCAGTATGAGATTGGTCTCCAGCGAACGGCAAGCACCCAGCGGGTCAAGCTTCCTTTGTCTTCCTCGCTCCAGATGCGGAACCAGGGACCTGCGTCTGTCTTCTGCGCTCAAAATCGAGGCTACAATTCCCAGTGTCTACGAACGCTCTTCCTGCAGCGGTGACCTCCAGCGACGTCGGACGGAGAATCAGCAGCGGATTCGACGGCGAATCCAAAGCAACGGCCGAACAACGACCCAGATGCGACGGATCTTTCAAGAGCTTCAACCGGCGACGTACGGCGGCGTGCGGCGGCGTACGGCGGAGCACGGCGGCGGAGACTTTCCAGGTGGCGGAAACCGGCGAAATCGACGGCGACGACAACACAATCTCTGATACCACTGTTGAGGATCGATTCCGTCACCGGATTCCGGCTCAGGCAGTCCGGATCTCGATTCCGTCAGTCTCTTGTGCACACCTAGGCTAAGGGAGCAACACACCTTTCTAACCTCGCCAACACTCACACTAACCTCACTCAGAAGGACTCTCACTTCACCAAGAAGGATAATAGCTTCACAAACAAATTGCTTTATAATACAAATTAAGTTGTTCTGCTTCATGATAATCATCATTATCAAGCGTGCGCGTCGATTAGTTTTGTTTCGAAACATTGTATGCTCTCAAAAATTGCTCTTTGATATATACATATTTAAAAAAAGTAGACAAGAATAATCCCAACTATTTGTGATCCGTTTAAATAATCCAAATTATCAATTATCTCAAAACAATCCAAACTATTGAAAAAATATCTCAAAATGCTCCATTGACGCATAAATATTATAAGCAATTTACGGGCTATTATAAGTCACTAGAGTAATTTGAGAATGTTTTTCAGTAGTTGGAATTATATATTTTGAGAAAATGAAAAATGGACAAAAATAATCCGGACCATTAGTGATTTGCTTGAAATAATCCAAAGTAGCAATTACCCATGAATTATAATAGTTGGGATTTTGAAAGATTACTTTAAGATAATTGATACTTTGAATTATTTCAAGCAGATCACTAATAGTTGGGATTATTATGTCCATTTTTTCTTTGAGAAAATTGATACTTGGAATCATTTCAAGCAAATCACTGATAGTTGGGATTATTTATGTCCATTTTTCCTATTTATTTATTTATTTATTTATTTATTGATTAGTTTTGGTCTTTTTTATATTTCTTTTTTCGTTTTTGAGAATGTCATTGTGTTTATTTATTAATGGAAATAATTTATTTATTTACTGAAATGATAATTGTGGAGTGTAGGCTCTATACGACTACGGAGCGCGGAAGTTTGTACTGATTGGAGTGGGCGCCATTGGGTGCAGTCCAAACGCTCTGGCCCAAAACAGCCCCGACGGCAAAACGTGTGTGGAAAGAATCAACGTTGCAAATCGGATATTCAACCAAAAACTGAGGGCACTTGTGGACACTTTCAACAGCAATACACCGGAAGCAAAATTCATCTACGTAAATGCCTACGGAATTTTCGAAGATTTAATCCAAAACCCCTCAACTTATGGTAAACCCCTTCACACACTTGTATACAAATTTCTTTCTTGTCAACTACTACCTACTTCGTATTTAATAAGATTAAAAATTCATATTAATCTTGTTTTGTTCTCAAATAGAATTTAATTACTCCTACTACGAGAACAAAACAATAAAACCCCCCAAAAGTATGAAGGAATGTTTTATTCGTATGTAGCAAATAGGAATATTTCCTTTCGTCGGTAAATTATTCAACATATGAAAAATGAAATAGGCTATAAACATAATGATAAATTGAAGTAAATATGAAAGTACAGATCAGGTCCGATTATGACATTTTAAGGATCCGAGACAGTAAAAATAGAGTAGGCTTTAGGGATAACATGTGAATAAGTGAGACGGTTAGAAATTCAACCACAAAGGTAAAACAATTCTACCCCACCATCTCAAAGCCTCACCCTAGAACCTATAAAGAACACACACTCTCAAAGTGGAAGAGGGATGAAAGAAGAGGGTTGGCCAAATGTCAGACTCTCTCTCTTTCTAGAAAATCCCTAGATATCTAGGGTTTTATAGAAGCGGCTCATAAAGACAAGAGAGGAGGAATGATATAAATATGTAGGCTAGGTGAGCCCAACAAGGTAAGTAATTAAGGCTGTTTTTACTTGGACTGGAATTTTCTGGTCAGGTCTGGTTCGAACTGGTCTGATCTGGTAAATGTATGGTCTCTGTATATTTTATAATTGTTCAAGTCTGGTCTGGTCTTATCAGATCTGGTCTGATTTGATCCGATCTGATCTGATCTGGTCTGATTAGATCTGATCTGGTCTGGTTTTGGACTGAAAACAGTCCAAGTAAAAGCATCTAAAGGTAACAAAAGACCGAATCAACAACGGGGCAAGCAAAGAGGTCTGGGATAGGGTTTCAAACAATGTAAGCCCAAATCACAAGAAAAAATAATAAGAGGCCAAAGCACAAGGACAATACCGCTCACAGGATGCAAGTTGACTTAGTGATGGACCGGGCCCAAGTCAGGCCGAGCCTTGGGCCGGGCCTGACCGGGATTTTTTGGGCAAAGTTGAGGCCCAAAACCGGCCCGGTGATCCACGGCAAATTATATGGTACAGCCGGCTGTACCATGAGCATGGTACAGCCGGCATTTTTGTAATTACTTTCAACTTTCAGGGTAGTAATTAGGTTGGTTACACTGTTCACTTTTCTTTGGCCGCAGCACTCCTGATTTCTCTCCGTCCGCTCCTGCTCTTGTCGTTATTGCTTCTCTGTTTCTTTTTTTGTCTGATTATTTCTTTGTTCTCAATTCTTTTTAGTTCCTCCTGCACTAGTCGTTAATCTCGATATCGTTTCTCTCCTTTTATTTATTTGCTTTATTGTTTGTTCTCAATTCTTTTTCGTTTTGGTTTAATTGTGTTTCTTCTTTCTTTTTTTGTTTCTTTCATTAACAACTTTTTTTTTTAATTTTGTATTCCATTATTATGAAAATTTATAATATAAAATATTATGTAAAATATTATTAAATGTCCCGGTCTATTTGTTTCTTTTTTCAATCAAATTTCGTACTTAAGGTTTTTTAATTTATTTATTGTGAAATATTTTAGGTTTTAATGTTTTATTTTTAATTTAAGATGAAAATTTATTAGTTTATTAAATATTGTTGTCTAACGTGGATTTTCTGTTATATGGAGTATTGAAATGAGTATAGTGAAACAAATATGCACGAGTAAATATTATATAAATAACACGGTTATATTTGTAATTCGCAAACGGAAGACTATAATTTTTTTAATATAAAATTACTATATTTGTCATTACTATATTTGTTACTATATGTGCAAAAATGAACATTTGAACACATTAGAGAATTCAAACGATCTTTTTGATCTTCCGATGCTCATTTTATAAGTTTTGTATGTTCATCTAGTACTGGTTGTATTCTCATTTTAAAATGTCATGTTAATGCATATTTCAAAAGTATCATATTAGATTCGAATAAGAGTTAGATTGTGTACATGGTACCGCAAATCATGATACTCAATTGCATGCTTCCGATACTCAATAGCGGAGGTTTGATATACAATGAAAATATCGTGATGATCAACTAACAAAGCTTATTATTTTCATATCATTACTCATTTGGTAAGTAATGTATGCTCATTTTGTACTGATGCTAGCTCATTTTTAAAATATTATATAAATGCTTATTTTAAAAGAACCATATTAAATTACATTCACATAGAAGTTGATTATAGACATAGGAGCACAGACCATGCATGATACTCAATTGCATGTTTCGAATACTCAATAGAGAAGTTTTGATGCTCAATAAATATGTCTTGAATTTCGACTAAAAAACTTATGATTTTCATATCAATGCTCATTTTTAAGTAACTTAAGCTCAATTGGTGTTCATGTTATGCTCATTTTTAAAATGTCATATCAATGTATATTTCAAAAGTTGCATATTACATTAGATTCGCATATTGAAGTTCATATGAGTTGATTATAGATAATATTTAGTAAGTTCTTAAAAAGGAAAAATAAGAAATTAAAAGAACGTGAATTTGAATATATAAAGCAGATCACCACACTCATTGTTAGGCTTCCAATGCTCAACAAAACATGTCTGATGCTCACTAAATTGCATAATCCTTATACTCAATAGAGGGAGTTTTGATACTCAACTAACAAAACTTACGATTTTCATAGTACTGCTCATTTATACGTTATGTATGCTCATTTGGTACTGATGTGCTCATTTTTAAAATGTCATAACAATGCACATTTCAAACGTATCATATTACATTAGATTCACATATTGAAATTCATAGGAACAAATTATAGATATAATTTAATGAGATTTTATCAAAGAAAAAATAAGAAAAAGAAAGTGAATTACAATATATGAAGTTGATATCACAAATACTCATTATTCGACTCTTAGTGCTCAGTAGAATACGTATGATGCTCATTAAAAGTGTATTAGTGCTCATCTGACGAAAACCGCTATTTTCACTGAAATTACGAAAATGCCACCATTTTTAATTGTACTATCAACTTTCTTGTAATAACACGGTGCTCATTATTAGATGCTTAATACTCATTAAAATTGGACTATTGCTCATTAACAGTACACTGATACCATTTTTAATGGTACAACTGGCCTTTTTTAGGGCTTCTGCGCTTTTCGCCTGGCTTCTCCGATCTTCGTCTCTGCTTCGCCCCTGCTTCTGCGCTGCTTGCGAAGGACTTCAAGCTCCAAGCAGGCCACTCCTCTGACAGCTCTCTTCTCCTCAAGTTCTCTTCTCCTCAAGCTCTTTTCTCTCCACTCTCTTCTCCTCTAGCAGAGCTAAGCAAGAGACGGCGGCTCTAGGTGATTTCTTTGTTGGTCGGGAAGAAGTATGCAGGGAAGACAAACTGGAAGATGATTTAGGAGATTTAAGTTCATATTTATTGATGACGAATTTGAAATGAGTTTATATTAAACTCAAATGAGTATAAGCTTAAAAAGAATGAACATATACAAATGAATATCGAGCATATAAAAATGAGTTTTATGTAAAACTCAAATGAGTATACAACCGAAAATGAATGAGCATACACAAATGATCTTTTGAATTTTTTATACTCATTTTGTGAGTTATGTATGCTCATTTGGTAGCTCTTTATACTCATTTCAAACGTACCATACTAATGTTAAACTCAAATGAGTATAAGGCCAAAATGAATGAGCATACACAAATGGACTTTTAAATTTTTTTGATACTCATTTTGTAAGTTACATATGCTCATTTGGTGTTATTTTATGCTCATTTAAAAAGAACAGACTCGATGCTCATCACAATCGCATAATGAAAATCATTGGTGATACTTTTCAAGTTGATGCTCAATAAAAATGTCTTGATGTTCAATTAAAAGTACTTATGATTTTCATAGCAATTCTCATTTTATAAGTTATGTATGTTAACGGGTATTCATGTTATGCTCATTTGTAATATGACATAACAATGTATATTTCAAAAGTATCATATTGCATTAAATTCGCATACTGGAGTTCATAAGAGTTGATTATAGATATAATTTAATAAGTTTTTATAAAGAAAAAAATAAGGAAAAGAAAGTAAATTCGAAGAGATAAAGCAGAGATCACGATGCTCAATGTTATGCTTCTAATGCTCAACAAAATATGTCACTTGCTCACTAGGCGTGGTTTAATACTCATTTAGTACGAAACGCCAATTTCATATAAATTACAAAAATGCCACCGGCTGTACGGTGAGCACCGTACAACCGGTGGTACTATATACGCTTCCTTAAGCATAGATCCTAACTTTAGCGAGTGCGTATACCGTACACCCGGCTGTACGGTGCTCACCGTACAGTCGGTGGCAATTTTGTAAATTTAGTCAAGATCACGGTTTCTGCTAGATGAGCATTAGTGTATTGTTAATGAGCATTAGTCCAAATTTAATGAGTACTAAAAGTCTAATAATGAGCACTGCGTTATTACACGAAAGTTGATATCACAACTAAAAACGGTGGCATTTTTGTAATTTCAATAAAAATCGCTATTTTCATTATATGAACTAACACACTTTTAATGAGCATCAGATGTATTCTACTGAGTATTAAGAGTCGAACAATGTATATTATGATATCACTTTCTTTTTCTTATTTTTTCTTTTATAAAAACTAATAAAATTGTATCTATAATCAACTTCTATGAACTTCAATATGTTAATCTAATGTAATATGCTACTTTCAAAATATGCATTGAGAGAACATTTTAAAATAAGCATAATATGAGTACTTGAGCATTCGTAACTTACAAAAAGAGCATTAATATGAAATTCATGATTTTTTTTAATTGAGTATCAAGACATTTTCATTGAGTATCAAACCCCTTTACTGAGTATTAGAAGCATGCAATTGAGTATCGCAATTGAGCATCCAACATATTCTTTTGAGTATTAAGAGTCTAACAATGAGCATCGTAATATTTGCTTCATATCTTCTGATGCATTTTCATTTTATTATTTTTTTCTTTTATAAATTTTTTAAATTATGTTTATAATCAATTCCAATTACAAGTATGATACTTTTAAAATATGCATTTATTTAATAGATTGAAATGAGCATAAAACTGTTACCAATTGAGCATACACAACTTACAAAATGAGTATCAAAAAATTTAAAAGCTCATTTATATATGTTCATTCATTTTAGGTGCTATACGCATTTAACTTAATAAAGCTCATTTCTAATATGCTTTATATTTGTTTATGTATGTTTATTCTTTTCAGGCATTGTACTCATTTGAGTTTAATATTAACTCATTTCCAATGTGTTTCAGGCATTATACTCATTTCAAATTGGTTCAACTACAAAGTATATTTTCTTGTTAAAAAACGAGTAGCTTTCCCTCTCCAGAGTAATTCCCCTATTCATTGTTCCCCTGTCCAAAAATGAGTAGCTTTCTTGTCACCAAAGTCACTTTTTGTGAAGCCTAGGTGAGTTCATAAATTCCTCCGGCAAGTGAGGATGGCACCATGAATTTGAGACTCAGATCTTCCGTCGCCAAAGGAATTATACGGATCAACCGCCCTCCTTCCACCTTGCTGGAATTCAAACAGCGAGGTGAGTTGCAGAGCCCGATTCCTGGTCGTCTGCTTCAAATTCCATCTGCCTTTCCCTTCATCGATGAGTTGCAGAGCATGATGAATTTAATTATAAAAATGCCGGCTGTACGGTGCTCACCGTACAACCGGCTGTACCGTATAATTTACCGTGATCCACCGGGTCAGGGCCAGTTTTCCACTGATTTCGGGCCGAGCCGAGCCAGGCCTCAGCCCGGTTGATTTTTTTTTGCTTTTCTAATTAATCCCCGACCCATCCCCTCACCCCAAAACACCCAACCCAACCCAGAAAAAACAAAAAAGAAAATTGAAAAAAAAGGCCCGAACCGGGCCCCGCCCGGCCGATTCCTATTTTGGCTGACCCGAGCCCGCCTTATGTAACCCCCGGGTCATGCCTACCCGGACCGGTCTCTGGCCGGGCCACTGGGCCGGTCTGGTTCCAAATAGTGTCGGGCCGGGCCACGGGCCGGTCAACCCGGAACCGGTCCATCACTAGGTTGACTAGTGTACGTCGGGACAAATATTTCTTTTGTTGATTAACTTGTCTAAATGAGGGAACATGTATACACACCAGATGACTCGTTCAAAAATTAGTATGATTAGGGAGATAACAAGTTTTTTACTAGGGATGGATACTTTCTAAACTTATTCCCTATAGTAGGATACTTTGAAATTTATTTCCCGAATAGGAGCATTTTTGCCATGTTATCTCGTCATGTCAGCACCCGAATTAAATTCAATTTCCACGTGCTGACATCATTTTTAATTTTAATTCATATGCTGATGACATGATGACATGGTAAAAATATCCTCTATTTGAGAAATAAGTTCGAAAGTACCCCATTATGAGAAATAAGTTTAGAAAGTATCATACTTTGAGAAAAAACTCAATGGTAACGTAATAAAAGTGAAGCGTACTCATTAAATTAAATGTCAAATGACGTAATAAAATACGGAGTAATCTTTTCTTTGTAGACATATCTATGCATATATCTATAGTATGTAAGCACTTCATAAGTGAAACACATGATATGGAAACGAATGTACACAATAAGTTATACTTCGTATATGTGGTAATATGATTAGATTTAATTGATATTATATTGAGATACTATGAGTTAATGTTGCAGGATTTAGAGTGACGAATGAGGGTTGTTGTGGCGTGGGGAGAAACAATGGTCAAATAACATGTCTGCCTCTGCAAAATCCATGCCCAAATAGAAATGAGTATATATTTTGGGACGCTTTTCATCCGGGTGAGGCAGCAAATATTGTAATCGGAAGGAGATCTTACAGTGCGCAGAACCCATCTGATGCGCACCCATATGATATTCGTCACCTGGCACAGGTGTAATCATTAATGAATAATAAAACGGAGTATGAATTATTGGTCATTTTAATTAATTAATTGACGAGTGATTCAGTTCCTTTCATATTCTAATACTCGATGTGTACTTGAATTAAGGTGATTTAATTTAGTAACTGTATTGTATAGGCTCATTTAATTTCTATATAAAATCCTCACACAAACATGCCTCTGGGGCTCTAAAGCCTCCAATTCTATCCGTTTGAGGTCTCCCATCACCATGGACGGATCGGATCGAGTATTTTGAGTCAAGGGGCAAATATTTTTTCGCTAATGTAGCGGGGTGAAATTTTTTCGTTACTGTAGGGCTATGCGGCTAGTTTTTGTTCAAAAAAAGTTCATTAATACATACACAATGACATTCTTAACCTTTAAATCTATTAGTTGTACATTCTATGTCTAGACAATAGAAAGATAACTTTGATTTTATAATTGAAGTGCTCTAGAAAAGAGTAGTGATAATGTAATGTTCTAAAAATCGGGTTAGGCGGCCGCCTAGTCGCTAGTCGGTCCGGTACCTTGGCGCTTACCATCAAATCGGCTTCAAAATCGGACGTCCGACTTAGCCGGGGCCAAGAGCGCATAGTCGGCCGATTTTGCAGGTAGTCGGCGATTTCTCTCCAGACTTTTTAATCGGCGCTAGGTTTTTACTTTTTAATAGTTTGCTCTGTTCGCCGAATTTGTCCAGTTCTTTCGCTCCAGACAAACCGACTCTTTCGAGTTATTTCCAGGGGAGGTGTATTTTTCAAACTTATTTCCCAAACTAGGGTACTTCTAAACTTATTTCTCAAAGTAGGGTATTTTTCGCCATGTCATCTCATTACCATCGCAGGTCGCCACATCAGTTTATCCACGTCATCCAAGCAATTCCATGTCATCCAACATTAAGAATTGAAGTGTGTTTCTAAAAGAATAAAAAAAGGTTGGCACCAGGATTCGAACCTGGGTGTGGCACAAGGAGGAAGAGCTACTAAACCACTACACTAATCAATTATCTTGTGCATTTGACGTTTTGCCATATAGTTAAACCGTATATACTTCTTTCCCTAACAATTAAAAAAAATATAATAAAAACTTAACTTGAGTTATTCAATTAAAAAATAAAAACCTAACTAAAATTTATAATAAAAAACATATTTCGCAATATTTAGTTAGAATATTAAAACTTAATTTGAAATTATAATAAAAACATAATTTGCAATATGTGAACATTTTTTGAAATAAATCAAAATGAAAAAAAAGAAAATATAAGCAAATCATTCTATTCCACTTCAATTTTCTAAAAATAAAATTAATAATATAAAATACCATATAAATTTTAAACATATAATAAAAAACTTAATTTGAAGTATGTAATTAAGAAATTATTTGACATAACTAAAAAATAAGTAAAATAAAAAATAATTAAATTTCATGCTAATGTAAAATAATAATGTAAACAAATATCATATACAATTTTTCTCAAAAAATATCCTTTGTAGCAGCTCAATTCTTTTCAAATGGACTTCGGTTCGAATTTTTCTCATAAATTATTATTGATTTGAATTCAAATACAATGCTCAAATTTGAGCTAAGTTTTAGTGAAATTTGAAATTCAAATATTTTAAATCCAAATGTATATTCATTTATCCGTGTATTACTCTTTTCGTTAGAGATATACTGCGCATAACTTCATTTTGAAATAATTAAAAAATATCATAAGATACTGTGTTTGAGATAATTAAAAATAAAGAGCTAAATAAAATAATAAATGTCATGGAAGGTTTTAGCCCACCGCAATTTAAAATTGGATATTATTCATGAGAGGTAGACTAGAATGAATTCACTTATATTTTATTGAATTTCGTTTTGAGTTATTTTAAAAAATATTGATTACATATTGCAAATTATGTGTTTTTATTATTAAGTGTAAATTAAGTTTTTATTTTCTAATTAACTATTGCAACATATGTTTTTTATTATTAATTTATAGTTAGATTTTTATTTTTTAATTGAATAACTTAACTTAAGTTTTTAATTATAAGTTTAAAATGTATATGGTATTTTACATTATTAATATTGTTTAAAAAAAATTGAGGTGGACTAGCATGAATTTACTTATATTTTATTTTATTTCGTTTTGAGTTATTTCAAAAAATGTTTACATATTGCAAATTATGTTTTTTATTATAAGTTTAAATTAATATTTTCTAATTAAATATTGCGAAATATGTTTTTATTATAAATTTTAATTAGGTTTTTATTTTTTAATTGAATAACTCAAGTTAAGTTTTTATTATATTTTTTTTAATTGTTAGGGAAAGAAGTATATATGGTTTAACTATATGGCAAAACGTCAAATGCACAAGATAACTGATTAGTGTAGTGGTTTAGAAGCTCTTCCTCCTTGTGCCACACCCAGGTTCGAATCCTGGTGCCAACCTTTTTTGTTTCTTTTAGAAACACACTTCAATTCTTAAAGTTGGATGACATGGAATTGCTTGGATGATGTGGATAAACTGATGTGGCGACCTGCGATGACATGGCGAAATATACCCTACTTTGGGAAATAAGTTTAGAAGTACTCTAGTTTGAGAAATAAGTTTGAAAAACACCCCTCCCATCTTCTATGAATCTGCAATTCTCAAGTTTCAAGTAACGATCTCCTATTGATCAGTCCTTTTCAATCTCTCCGCCACCAGCCAACTCGAGTTAAGCGTTCATCTCTTCACTGATTTCACTCTATTTTGTTTTCTTCAATTTTTAGCTTTGTAGAAAATTGGAATTATGATTTGCTTTTTACAATCTCTAAACACGAATAAAACAACTTATTTTTGTTAATGGTTAAACATTTGAATGTGAAATGTTAAGAACATGCCCAAAGTATAGGCAGACACAAGGGACCTAACATTCAACACGTCAATGGATTACTGTAGCCTTGACCCTCTAATGATTAGTCTTCACACTTCAGTTCAAATAAAGAGACTCAACACAATACTAAAATCAAAGATTTTAAGGATATATGCATCTCTGCTGGATATATGATTAAATATTTGGATGTCTATACATATGAATTTGTATGAATGATGCATATGAACTATAAAGTTAGTAAGTTAATTTAAGCAACTCAATATAGGAACTTTGTAGGTTAAGTGTTTGACAAATGTCCTCAAAGAAGCATAAATCATATTTTTTACTTCACTAAGGTTGGAATTTGGACAGATGAATTGTTGACGGGCACTTTGTCACGGTGCGTCAAAATAATTCGATACTAACAACTATACGTAATATAGCGTAGTAGAGTTCGTATCCACAGGGAAAAGAGTAACTTTCTTTTTATGTAGCTAGTAATTAAAGGGGGGTTTTGATTGAGTGATTTAATTAAATTAAACACAAAGATGAACGAGTTATATGGGATTAAATTCAAGAATAAAAGGGACTTGATCTTGCTACTTTCCACTTGTTGATATATTTTAGTCGATCATTGTTATATCTATAACTTATCCCCTCTCGAATACTCAATCGCGGAGTATCTCCAATTCATCGAGGGTAGTTATTAACAACGACCGTTCATTAATAACTCTTACTATTAATCAAATATAGAACAACGCCGTATATCGATATAATAGTAGCATTTAACCTTTTTAACTCTTTGATGAAATCAATTGAGATTGATAACCTCAACACAACGGTTTCGGTTTAACCAACAAAAATAATCCCTCTTAAGTTTATTAACCACGACCGTGCATCAATAAACCGAAGTTACTTACTTGTGAAACCATCAACGATTAACCATCGGTTCATTGATCATTTCTAGTAATAATCAATGTTGGAACGTTAACTAATCATCACTTAGCAACCCTCCGACATTAATATAGAATGAGGTTAAGGGAAGAATTAATAATCAAGAGGAGAAAGTAAGAAAAAAACTCACAACTTTAATAATCAACAAGCTTCAAGAGCAAAACCAAGAAATGGAAGTTTAGCTACTCATTTGGAGACTAAACATGCTATAAAAATATAAAATAAATACTATTCTAAACTGAGCTTAAGAGTATGAAAGAAGGAGTGCTTTTATTGTGAAGGAAAAGGGGTGTATTTATAGGTGTTTGGAGGTGGCAGGTTTGTGTACCCGATCGGGTATATAGGGTACCCGATCGGGTATTTTAGGCAGTTTTTCGGAAAATAACTTTTCTAGACATACCCGGTCGGGTATGTAGGCATACCCGGTTGGGTATGAGCCAAAAAGTCAAAATCCTGCACGTTCTTGTCTCTCCAGATTCTGATTTTGACACCCGAATCAACTCAATACCCGATCGGGTATTGCCTATACCCGACCGGGTATATGAAATATTTTTTCAATCTTCTTTTTATCTTGTCCCCTTGCACTTTCCTTGATCTTTTGGGGTCCAAACTTGATCCTTTGGATGATCTTGACCTGTTTTAAGCTCAGAATAATCCTAATCTAAACAAATTACATCTATCTAAGAAAATTAACAAATTACACCAAAAGTGTGTAATTTTCCAAACAACAACAAATAAAACTAGTTAAAATAGAAATAATACATAATAAAAATACAATTCTATCAATTGTTCTTGCAAAACCTATACTTTATCAAGCTAATTAAGTTAATCATTTCAGAATTCATATGTTGTTTACTTTATCAATAGGTTTACTGGTTCAGTTTAAGACTTTAAGTTAATGTTAATTAAACTTACTAAAACTTTTAATAAGTTTATTTAAATTAAAACTCTCTTTTATAATTTAATAACTCTCTCAAACTTCTCACTTACTTGCTAATTTGTTCATAATATTATCACAAAATATATCACAAAATATAAGGAATTGAATTAAACTGTATTTTGAATCTGTGTTTAGAGGGTTGAATTTTTTAATTGTATTTACTATTTTACTGTTTATGTTTTTGGGATGATGATCTCTTTTTGAACTTGTTATATTTGCTTATTGAGTTGTTTAATGGAAGCTCCCATTATTTTATGGTATTAAATCTTAGTTATGGAAGCTGTTTATTATAATACTCCATGAGGCTAGTATATTTTTACTGCATACACTAATACACTTGGGTGAATGACTGTTTTGAGGCTGAAAATCCCTTGCTACCTAGTCGCCGATTAGTTGCCGACTAGTCGGTCTAGGCGCTAGGCGGCCCACTGCCGCCCGACTAGCACCTAGCGAGTTTTAAAACATTGCTGATACATTAAAGTGTAAGAAAT